CGCTTTCTCTCTCTCTCTCTCTCTCTCTCTCTCTCTCTCTCTCTCTCTCTCTCTCTCTCACTCACTCACTCACTCAAGGACACACCCTTTCTCATCAGTGGCATTCGACATCAATATATTCATATAAAATTTGTCAAATGCAGGGTTGGGCAAAGATACATCAAAATGTATTTGAAAATAAAATACCAAATACCTTAATTTTAAGTGTATCAAAATAAAATACAAAATACAGCAGCCACACCATGTATCAAAATAAACTACTGTATTTTTGTATTTTAAAAGTACTTTTGGGAGCATGAAATTTCTTCGCAAACCTTCCATCAGTTGGCATATTTGATCTATCCCTTCACCAACTCTGACTCTCACTGACAATGTTTGATAGAAACAGCTTTTCTCTGGCCGAGTCATGCCATAAATCTGACATATGTGAATATTTGATCTGTTAACTGGTTGCATATCCCTGTGATCTCCCAGATGAAGGCTAGTTTTAAAGTAACAAACATTTTAATGTTTAACAGTTTGCGAATGATTCATAATTATGAGTTACACCAGAAAATAGCAACAGAACTTGTCAAGGAGTATTAACCCATTTGTTAATTCATGACTAAAACTACACCAGCCGAACCCAACACGGAGCAGGTTGTGATACATTGCATAGTGTTAAAATAAATAGTTAAGAGATGGAAAAAACCTACTTAGACACATTCGTTAGGGCTATACAATTAATCGAATTTTAAATCGCGATTACAATTATGGATGCCACAATTACGTAATCGTTCAAAGCAGCAATTAATCGTTCAAAGTCCACTTATGTTATTCTGCGAAGGAAAAAGCTCCGCTCTCGTTTGTCTCTCTTTTCGAGGAAAGAGGGGCAGCCATCTGCTTCCCGCGATTCAGGATCCGCCGCTGCTGAGACACGGAGGAGAATGAACACGTGGGGATCGCATGTGGATCTGGCCGATGAGTTTGAACAGGGGTTTTCCCTCTCGCGATCGTCGGCTGTGGACGAGAGTGAGCCGTTATGAGAAGATGCCCCTATAGAGAGACGCTGGCCAGCTATCTCTCTATAGATGAGAAGTCCTCTTTTAAGATTCCCTCCTTGACATCTCGCTCTAATGCCAGGGCATACGCAGCAGCAGCAGCAGGTCGGGCTGTCGCTTCATTGTATATCAGCATATCAAGCATATCAGGCTAGCCTGCTGAAAGACCTGGATAAAGGCGAGGGCCTTTCTCCTAATGAGGTAGCTGAGTGCGGGCAAAGGCGCGCTCAGCGGCCTTTACGAAGGTCCAGGTCTGAGCCCGAACAACCCAAGGGGTCCTGGCCCGTCTCGGTTTGAGGATCAGAGACGGGCACAGAAGGCTAGTGTCGCGGC